ATATATATATACATATATATAGGAAATTAAATCTTTATCAGCCATATGGATCCCCAAAGCATTTTCCCAGACTCTTCACTTTGTTAATAAATGTCTTTGATGAACAAAAGTATTTCTTTTTTTATGATATGCTGTTTATCTATTTTATCTTTTGTTGTTTGAATATCTGACAATGCATCATTAAAAACTAGGTCTCGCTGCATACATTTTTTATAAAAATGTTAAAAATAGGACCAAGGATAGAGACTGATTGCACTGGAGAGACCACTATAAATGTGGGTCATTCTGGTTTCCATTCTTTTTTTTTTTGCTTGCAAAGATTGGAAACTAGCAACCCATTAAGTGAGGGTTAGACTATAAGCTTAGGAAGTTTTGCTCTTCAAATATACAGATTGGGTATTTTTACAACAAGAAGTTCTTTTTTGATAGATATGCAAGTCTTCCATATTTTCAAAACTGTGATTTATATTTTCTCAGAGAGTAGAGTCTGGGGTAAGGATTTCACCTTGGGCTTCTCCACTTCGACATATTTCTTGAAAGAGGGAAGTGTGAGAGTCTCTCAGCACCAGTAACACTAACAGCAATCTGAAGAACTGGTGTCACATGACTCTTGTACCTGGTAGATCAGGTGATCCAGGGTCAAGCTTACCTGTCATCAAGTCCTTGAACACATCAGCTGGGAAATCAAAGTCAAACTGGAACGTAACACAGGATCTTGGGTCTGGGGCTTGTTTTAACAACTACTTCAGAAGCTAGTCTGAAAACACACATAAACATCTCAGGAGGCAAGAAAAGACTGTGTATTTTAAAATCTTTGGAAAAATAAAAAAGACTTACCAGTGAACTCAACAAAAGTTTTTTCATCTTGTACTTGTAGATATAGAGTCTCAAAATAAGACGGAAAAGAAAGTGAGAGTTTACACTCCGTCACACAGCAAGTTCTGAGAACACAGAATATCATCAGCTGCACTCATTCTCAGGGTGGCTTTTCTGATGAAATAATTAGTGATTGCTTCAGGATGTGCTACATCCAGGGAAACTAGGAAATGTCATGAGACCAAGTAAGGAATCCTTATATGGTGCACTCAGCTAAACACACAGGTGCTAGCTTCAAGGTTGGAAGTTCAAGTTCACCCAGAGATACCTCAGAACAAAAGTCTAGTGGTCTGCTTCCCAGTCACAACTTAAAAACCCTGTGGACTGCAATTCTGTTCTACACACTGCAGCCGGCAGGAGTCACAAGCAACTTGATAGACAGCTGGCTGGCACTAGAGGAAGTGATGAGGGATCTTAATTAGAACCTTGCCTTCACTCTCCACAACTACAACCAAATCCACTATCATTCAGTCAGCTTTGACTCATGGAAACCCACACATCACAGAGTTGAACTCTATAACACAATGGAACACCATAAAGCTTTGTTGGCTGTAATCTTAACAGAAGCAACTTGCCAGGACTTTCTGGCACTGAACTACTTAAAACCATCATGTTAGTCAGTAGACAAGTATAAATAGCTCAGACCACACAAGGACCTTCAGTGGTCTCGGTAGCCTCCAGAATCATTATGGACTCTGATCCTAGATGAACTTCTTTTTGGTTGGCTGGTTGTTTTGGTTTCTTCTTTTATCTGTTTATTGGTTTACTTACCTTTAAAATAATTTGTTGTTCTCAAAAGCAATCATTGAGTATATGAACTTGATAAGTAAACCAGTATAAAATAAAAATTATATTTAAAAACCAAGAATCATGGGAAAAGTTACAAATTGTGTGTTTGTTGTACCAGAGTGACTTGCTTGTTGCTAGGATGCTGGATGCTTTGCCATTGGCATTTCAACAGGGTCATTCCTGGTGGACACATTTCAGGAGAGCTTCCAAACAATAACAGACCAGGAGAAAAGGCCTAGAAATCGACTTTTGAAAATTACCCGGTGAAAACCTGTCAGAAAATAACAGAGCGCTGTCCAGTGTACTAGATTTGGACACATTACCAGGAAAGATCAATTTCTGGAGAAGGACAATGCATTTGATGAAGCAGTTTGGTGAATCAAGACAGTGGGAGACCCTTCTTGAAATGGATTAGCAGAATCAAGGGTGAATATTAAGGGTGAAAAACATGGTGGCAGTCAGGAAGATAATGCAGGACTATGAAATGGTTTTTGTTTGCTCTGTTTTACATACAGTCATCAAAAGTCATAATCTGTATATGCAGTTGGAAAAGAATTTTTTTAAAGACAAATAACATGCCTCCAGAAACTCTGTGAACTTTGATAAATGTCAACAGTTGTAGAGGAGCCTCAGGCCTTTGGTTCATAGGGTCGCTATGAGTTGGGTTCAACTTGAAGGCAACAACAACAACATTATTTTGTTGACCATATAATGTTTCACTTGAAATTATATTTTTATATATAGACACATACGCACATACATACATACATGGACTTCTGGTGGCCTAATGGTAAGAATCAGTGCTGCAATCCCAAATCTGCCAGCTGTTGCGTGGGGGAATGACGGACAATCTTCTCCTGTTCCATTACCGCCTCTTAAACCTGCTGGAGGGTCAGTGCTGATTCAATGATACACAATAACAACAATATATGTATTTATACACATGTAAACATATATATTTCTATATGTATATAAATCTTTTGTATCACAGAATGGTACACTCTAGTCTTCAGTCTCTTATCTGTGCATCTGAATAATGTTCACTGGCCAAGTTCTATGGAGAAGATACATAAAAAACCAAAACCAAGACCTCAGCCTCTTTAAATAAACAATATTCTTTTTAGTAAACACTTGTAACCCAGTAACTATTTGCTGGCAAAACTTTAAATGGAGAATAAATTTCCTTTCCTTGTAGCAAGCAGTAACCATCTTCTATCTTGTATTGCTGTTTTTGACCCAGTGCAAAGTAAAAATCCCATAGGAAATTTAGCTGAAGTCAATAGTTCTTAATCACAGGATGTGCTAAAAGGTTTAAGCTCACACACACAATAGTGAAGGGGACATAAATGTACATCTACATAACATTTTGCTGCTTTAAGGAAAAAAAATTAAGCTTAATTCCCTAATCTTATTTTTTATACAACTTGTCTTAAAATATACTTTGCATTTTATTAAGAACAGAAGGAGGAATGGGTTGCAAACCAAGAAATGAAAGCGATCACGCACAATGTGCCAGTGTGTTCTGCCGCTAAGATGTGGTCGCAACAGGGCCGATCTTAGTACCTGTTATACGGCTCATCTCTATACCCCTGCCTCCGCGCCAGCTACCAAAGAGGCCAACCCCACCGATGGGCAAAATAAACACTTTGTATCTGTTAATTCAGAGCCTTAAGATCTTAGCCAAGCATTTACAGAAACATCAACACAGATGAGAGAAGACCAGGCATTCTTGTAAAGAGAGTTAATACAGAAAACACAAAATAGAATCTGATAGTAACATCTGATGTATACATTTTGAAGATTCCCAGGTTTTAATTAAACCATATGATTTTTACTTGGTAGGCAAGGGAGAATTATGAGTATGGTGAACACAGTGCCTTTATTATCAGATTGGTTTCTAGAATTCAGAGGATTGGTCATGGTTGTATCATCATTATGTGGTCTCAATATTAGGTATTAATCAATTCCCATACAGTTATTGAGAACTCACTGATCTCCTAATATGTGGATACCCCATAATGAGAATGTACCAACTAGTATCTTATACTGATTCTTGGTAAATTTTGAGAAATTGACCTCCGATCTCAGCATCAGAGCCAGAAATGAGCGGAAGGGCAGATTTGGGGTTGATTGTTCAGGAGAAGGAGCATCCTGTAACTATTCTACGGGCTCTGCAGGAAGGCAAGAGTCAAAGCTGATGTTCCAATTCTGTCTCCTGGGTGGAAGCCTAAATCAGGATAGAGATTGGGACCGGGAATCGGGTGCTGCGGCTCATATTATCTTTGTCCTAATTCAGGAAAGCTGTTCCAGGGAATAAAGTCACAGAAGATCAAAGAAGAGTCAAAGATGCACCTGCAGAAAAGAAAAGCAGAAACTATAAAGAAAATCAACAGTCGCCCAAGATTTGGGGAAGCAATTCCCAGAATTACAGTTAGCAACGTAAAAAAAAAAAAAGAGTACCTGCGGCGTTAAGAATTACGTTCTTTATATAAGCAAACTTAGTTGAAAACATTACACATTCTTTGGGAGATTGGCAATAGACAGGATGCTAACGACTGTCATTACTAAATAGTGATAGCAAATTAAACAGAGAGGTTTGTAAAGGCAAGACATCACACACTGAGAACCACTGCATTCTTTCAGTCTTGTTGAAGGTGAGTTGTTATGTTCACAGTTGAAATCTGCTGCTTAAAACCAAACGTATCCAAAGCAGTTAAGAAGAGTCAGATTTTAAAAGAAAAAGGAGCAATGCAAACAAATCATCAACAACAAAACATCTTTCCAGACTACTGATGTATTGTATTGAATGTGATACAGAGAAGGCAAAGGGGCTTTGCAGAATCTTGGCCATAGAAGTTGTCACCATCAGCCACACAGGATCTTAGAAGATCTCCAGGTCTATGTATAACACCATGAGGACAACAAAGCAAACACAGAAAATGCACTCAAATAAAGCAAGGTCGTTATGGTCCAAGTCTGACATGAACTTTTAACAAAACGTATGCAATCACATGGTGAGAGACCAGGGCTACAGTTCTGACATTTAAAAACCATAGGATGTAGCAAGTTCAACTTCTGTCGCAGATCATATATCAGGGCAGTTGGAAATTAACAGCGATTTCTAAATGCTTGTTACGTCGAATGGGGACCATGGGAGAGGAGGGAATGGCGGCTCCTGGGAGCCCTCTTGAGCCTGGAGGAATGCAGGAAGGCAGCTCAGTTTTGCAAATCCATTGTCTGAACATTCACTGTAAGAGCATCTTTTGTTTGTCCATTGAAAGCCCCTGGCTATTAAAACACACTGTCAGAATTGTAAGAGAGACCACAGTTGCCAGTCAGAAGAAGTACTCTTTCTGATTTTCATTGATTGTGTTCTGTATATTAAGCTCGCTTTTCAGGGCCGCCTCAGCACTGTCTACGTTCTCTGACCTCTTTGCCTCATTTCTTTTGTATAACCTTTTCTGCTGATAAATGCGAATGGCTATGGCAGTGATGCAAAGCAAGATAAAGATCACAACAGCGATCAGACCTAGAGAGAGAAGAGAGAAGAGAAGAGAAATACAGAGTCAGAACTTCTGTGCTGATAGAAGTGTGTTGACGCCAGAATAAATTATAAAAAAATAAATTACGGTCCAGGGAGCCCAGCTGGCTTAGTGGTAAGAAGTTGTGCTGCCAACCCAAAGACACATGGTCCAAAGTTATCAGCTGCTCTGTGTGCAAGAGGTGGGTAAGCTCCTCACATGCCATTTACTGCCTCTGTAAACCTGCTGAATGGTCAGCTAGGAGCTGATTCCACCTGACAGTACATAACAACAACGATAATTCAGAGCTATCAACACTTCAGCTATCTCTAAGTCAAATGAAAACATAATACTGAGTTTACTTCTGAGTTCTGTCATCCTTCTGGGATCAATTACTTTTATTCTGAATGCATATTATAACTGGATTTCTTCTTTGTGGCTGTTGTTCTTACGTATTGTCCAGCAGGAACCAATTCATCTAACCATCCAGCAAGTTTTCAGAGGCAGCTAATCCCATGAGAGGAGACAGGCCTGTATTTCTCCTTGGAGCAGATGGTAGATTTGAACCACTTCCTAGTGCATTTATCTTACCCATGCCTACACGTCACTGAAGGGAGCTCTGGTGGCTCCGTGGAAAGGAGTTGCACTGCTAACTCCAAGGAACGTGGTTTGAATCCACCATCTGCTCCTTGAAAGAAAGATGAGCCATCTCCTTCCGTCCCTTTTAGTGCCTCTGAAAACCCTCTGGAGGGTCAGCTATGAAGCAGGTCTGTGTTGGCAGTAAATAACCACAGATGTAACTAAAAACATGGGACATTTTTACATTAACACCCAGACACGTTTAAATTCTTTTAACAGTATAAAGTACTGATTGCAATCAATGTCATGAATCAAGGTACGGTACATATGAACTGTTGAATGGAAAACCAATTTACACCCTAAAGGCTCACCCAAAATGAAATTTTCCAATGGTTGATCTGCTTTACGAACATTTCTTCAAATCATAATTAAAAAGTTTAGAATATTTTCATTTAAAAATAAAGTGTATAATATTATTATCTTCTTTAAAGGACTGAATATGCTTTTGCATTTTTTTTAAAATTTTATTAGTTTTAATGAACATTTACAGGGATTTTGGGTTTTCATTCCTTCATTGCTGCACCATTCTCTCTACCCTCCTCCCCAGTTTGTTCTTCTTCCCCGCCATCCGAATGTCTGTTTTAATTGTCCAATTGCCACAGTACTCGTCAAAGTCAGTTCTGATTAATCTCCTTTGTCGGTGTGTCCTTTGCCATTCCCTATCACTCCTCCCTGAGAGAGACTTCACCCTGATTCATAAGGAAAAGGGGATGGCGTATTCTCTTAGCTACTTCCTGCTGAAAAGGGACGCTGTGGGTTTCAGGGTGAAGATCTTCTCTCACTACTCTAAAGGGCCCATCAATTTTTAATTAGTTAGTTTTCAATGATATTTGTCAAACTGTTAAAAAGTAAGAATAAGATATATATATATATGTAATATACACTTATAAATGAGTAGCCCAGACAGGAAGGTATGTATATTACTTCTATTTATGAACACTGACTATGTGGCCTATCTGGCTATAAATCTTCTAATTGCTACCATCATTATCTCTATCAACAGTTCTCCACCTGGGTTTACATTAAGGGACTAGTCATCAACGTGTGGTCTGTGAATTCCTGTGAGTCCCCAGGACACTTTGAGAAGGGTCCACAAGGGCAAAACCATTTCCACGAAAATGCTAAGATGGCCTTTCACTCTGTTGACAAGGTCAGATAGAAACCTCTGGGGTGTTCGCAGGAAGTAAGTCAAAGACATCACGCAGGAGCAGTGCTCATTGAATTCTTCACTTGTCAGGCAATTACACTTAAGAATGTCCTAGATGAAGCAATGACTCATTCCACTACGTCTTGACCCTTGAACGTGTGTATACCTGGTGTTTTGTGTACGAGCATGGGAAGCACACAGAAGGGATTTTTGCAGCACGTTGAAATTCTGGCTGCAAGGAAAGCCCCTGGGTGAACAGAAATGCTGAGAACTAAGCCAGCAGCTTTTTTTGTCTCATAGAACACTGATTTTACTTGAAAGAATGACTGACAAACTGTGGCTGCTGAAACTGGGTGTATTTGCCAGCATTTCTCTCTACGATGAATGAAGTAAGCATGTCACTTCAAGAAAAACAAGTGACAGTACAGTGCATCTTGCCAATGACAAAAATCCATGCTTTTAAATGAAAATGAGAATTTGGAAAACGATGTCATCTGTTGGCAGCTCCCCAACACTTAAAGACTTTTCTGATGAGATGGGGGTGAGGTGTTAACTAATGTCATTTTCTAGACAAGAATAGTTTAAAGTGAGTCTATCTAACAGTAATACAGTCTAAGCAATTTACAGCTTGGAAGGGATCAATCACAGTGGATTCACGAGCATAACGTGTGCTGGGAAAGTTCACTATGGCCAATAGAACAAAAAAATAAAACAACAACAAAACCCAGGGGCTTTTTGGATACATCAGCCTTACCTGAGAAAGGTAAACAGTTTCTTTTTTTATAATCCTAGCATAAATGACTCGTGTCTGCATTTGCAATCTGGAGCATGAACTAATGAATGGTTATCATTGTTGATGTTGTTGTTAGGTGCAACACTGCCACCCCTCACTGAGAGCCACCATGTGTGTAACCAAATGACACGTTGCTGCATCCTGCTTGCTCTTCACAGCCTCTGCTGTGCTTACGCCCATTGTTGGAGTCACCACGTGAACCCATCTCACTGAAGGTCGTCTTCTTTTTCAGCGACTTTTCTAGGTGTGATGTCCCTAGCCAGAAACCAGCACCCCCTGAAAGCATGCTCAAAGCATATGAAAGTCCTACCATCTTTGCTTCAAAGGAGCACTCTCTAATCAGAAAATTAATTTGCTATTGGCCACATCATGATAGATGGATGGAAAAGAGATTGAGGTTGTTAACAATTTCAGCTTGCTTGGTTCCACCATCAACACTCTTAGCACCAGCAGTCAGGAAATCAAAAGGCAAACTGCACTGGGGAAACCTGTGGTCAGGCACCTCTGCAGAGTACTGAGAACTCTGAGATTACTGTATTCTATGGAGAACTGAGCAACAATGTCAGTCTTAGAGACTAAGGTGTGCCTGATCCAGGCCATGGTCTTCACAATTACTTTCTACGCATCAGAGAGCTGGACTATATGACTAAGGATGACAGAAGAAGAATTGATGCCTTTGAGTTGTGATGCTGGAGAAGAGTCTTGAACATACCATGGACTTCCAAGAGAACAAACAGACCTATGCTGGAAAGGATGAACCAGGTTGTTCCTTGGAGGCAAGGATTTTGACGCTCCATCTCATATACTTTGGGCATGTGGCCAGGAAGGGCTAGTCTTTGGAGAAAGACATCGTGCTCAGAAAGGTGGAGGGACAGCACAGGAGAGGAAGATCCCTGATGAGATGGATTGACATAGTAATTGGAATGATGGGGCTAGGTGTGTCAGAGTCAGTAAGACTGGCTAAGGACAGAGCAGGCTTCAGAGTTGTTGGAGGCAACTTGATGGCACATACAACAATAACAACGACATTAAATGCTTCTTGGAGAGGCTATTCCTTGGAAAGGGACATCATGCTCGGAAAAGGTAGAGAGTCGGCTAAAGAGAGGAAGATCCTCAAACAGGTAGATTGACACAGTGATTGCTACAATGGGCTCTCGTGTGTCGAAGATTGTGAGAATGGCACAGGGTAGGACACGGTTCAGATCTGTTGTTAATAGCGTCGCTGTGGGTCTTACTCAACTCAAGGGCACCTAACAAACAGTATATATTTTGTCTTTCATTACAGAAAAACAGTAAGGGAGCTATCAATATTTCTGTTGTCTAGTGACAGACCTCCGGTTTAAAGAGGGAGATTCTGAACAGTTTTAGTGTAAAAATGATGATGTGTGATCTATACCTAGCAGCCCACGGTGATGGTTAAGATAAACATCATCATTAAACTAGCCAGACAGCACCTGCAGACAGTCAGAATCATGAGCTTGTCTGCACCTTGTCTTCTCCACCCGACAGGATTTATCTCTTTTAATTTGGAGATGGTTTTACTTCAGGGCTTGTTGTGTTCCAGTAAAACCTTGACCTCACTTGTTAAACTAAAACAAATAAGATTGTTTGACTAAAATATGGCCAGCCACCGTTCTAGGGGTCTTGCGATCAGAAGTTCTCTGTGAATGTGGTGGTTTTTTTTGTAAAGAAATTGTATGTTTTTCTGTCTAATTCAACCAGTCCACTCCTGGAAAGTTTAGTCAGAAAACTACACTATCTAGGTCACTGGTTTTAAATGTCTTATTAAATCCATTCTTGCATCTTATACTGACTCACTTAGCCTGGAAGAGAAAATAGATTCTCCAACAATGCAGGACTCAAGGCTATTCATTAATCAGGAAAGGCTTTGACTGGATCAAGTACTGGTGAGTACTGTGCTTACTAGCCGCGGTCGAGTTGATCTCTGACTCATCACAAGCCTACGCACAATGGATCAGACTGTTGTCACCAGAGGGTTTTCCCGGGATAATTTCTGGAGTTAATGTACTCTAGGATTTCTTCCTAGCCCACGTCTCGTAGCTCGGCCGAACCTAATCAGTATCACTGGAACATGTAAGGCACCCCTGACTGACGGCCGGCCGTTGTACATGACGTGCAGAGGCAAGGCCTTCCACAGGGAAGGAGAGACACACATACCCTGACTGGTACGTGTTGATATTGTTGCTGTTCTTACAAGCCTTTGAGTCGGAACTGACTCAGAGCTGACCCTCCAGTGTGTTTTCAGAAGCTGAACATCACCTGGAGGGAAGATGGGTCCTCTTTGTCCTGTACAGCAGCTGGTAGACTCGAACCACTTCTTGTGCGTTGGCATGCAATTCCTTACCCACTGGGCTGTCAGAACCTCCTCACTGGGACATGTTGTTATTGTCTGGTACCTCAAATCAACTACAACTATTAGAAACCTGACGAACATCAGATCTGATGTCTGTCCCAACCTACACCGTCCTCACAATCTCCGATATGCACACTGTTGTCGTCACTGTGTCAATCCTTCTTGTTAAGGGCTTTCCTCTTTGTCTCTCTGACCCTCAACCTTTCTCAGCTTGATGCATGATGTTATTTTCCAAGAATAACCCATCCTGACGGTATGTCCAAAGTATGTGAGAAGAAGTTTCATGATCCTTGCTTTTAGGGTGCTAAGAAGCCTATCAGAGGGAGTAACACCCAAAAGCACAGTAGATCATGATCCAGTAGATTTCACACAGCCCCAGGCAAGTTCTTTAGAGCTTAGATAGCCATCACGAGAAGCTCCGCTTCTGAAACTGAGGCATTTAATTATGAAAGTCCACACCAATTGTGGTTTAGGACGTTTGAAAATGGCTTTTCTAGCCATTGTCTTAACCCCATCTGGAGGCATGGCCTCCAACTGTCTCAACTGTGGATCCATGATTTGATCAGTGTCTTTTACATCATCAATTGCTGTGGAGCCAACATTAGAAAGAGAGCTGGCCACACTGTGGAGAGACTGCAGGTGTAGCCTGACAGAACTCTACAGATGGAGCCAGAGTTAAAGGTTTTGCTTCTGAACAATGGAAGGAAGAGCTGATTTGGGACTGTTGAGACAGGGCCTGCTGCATGATTGAGTGGCCCCAGAAGCTTCTTGCATTTGTGTACTCAATCAACCCGAGTCCTTTCACAGTGTGGTAGCCTTTGCCTTCCCCGGCCCCTCACAATCTATTTCCCTATTGAACTCCACAACTTTTGCAATGAGTATCTGGTGATTAATGGAAGTTGGTGCAGCAGTTGGGTGAGGATTACTAGCATTACTAGAGGATCAGAGGGGAAGAATTCTCTTTCGTAGAGTTAATCATGGTTGGACTCAGCCATCCCCATTTACATCAATAGATTCCCAGGGTTTAGTGACCTCCTGGGGAAATGACGGGCCATGTGTTCTTCCTCTGCGCAGCCACGTAAAGATTGAACAGCTGAACTGAATATTATCAGCATGCCATGTCAGCACATCTGCCTTCACTCTCTAAGTCTTGCCGATGATCTTTGCCTAAAGCAGTAATATTCTGGAGAGTAAATATTTTGTCCTAATACTAACTTGACTATGACAGGTTTGGCAGCAGGAAGTGGCATCCACTTCCTGAACAACACACCTCCAGAAACTCTATGAACTTTGATAAATGTCGATAGTTGTAGAGGGGCTTCAGGCCTTTTGTTCAGAGGGTCGCTATGAGTCATGTTCAACATGAAGGCAATCAACAACAATAACAACAACAACAACAACAACTAACTTAACTGGCGGAAAAATCAGTCTATGTTTTTATCTATCTATTCAAGCTAGATTCAGAAGAAGACATGGAACAAGGGGGTGTCATTGTTGAAACCAGATGGATCTTGACTGAGAGCAGGTAATAACAGAAAGACATTCATCTACACTAAAGGCTCTCAAGTGTGGGGATCATAGCAAATTATGAGCAATATTTCAAAGACTAGACATTACGGAATATTTACTTTTGCTCAAAAAGTCTTGATGGCTTCGGAGACTAAACGCTGGTTGCCAACTAAGAGGCCGTTGGCGTGAGCCCACCCGCATGGAACAGAAGAATGTGAGGCAGGCTGATACTATAGGAAATCCTGTGGGCAGTCTCACTCTATGCTGTATGCTTGCTGTGAACCAGAATGGTCTTCTTGCTGATAGTGAGTTCTGACTGTTGTGGGTTCAACTGTGCTCGTGTGGAACCTGCATATGGATGTCACTAAAACACAAGAGGATATGGCATGGTTTCAAATCAGGAAAGTGTGTGTGAGGGTTGCATGCTTCCTCCATACTCATTCACTCTCTATGTTGTTGTTGCTGTTATGTGCCGTCGAGTTGTTTGCAACTCATAGTGATCCTATATACAACAGCCCTAAACCCTGCTCTGTCCTGTGCCATCGCATTGCCTCTGACACAACCATCCCGATTACCCCAGTCACTGAATCAATCCACCTCATAGAGGGTCTTCCCCTCCTGCACCCTCCCAAGCATGATGTCCCTCTCCAAGGACCGGTCTCTCCTCACAACATGTCCAAAGTATGTCAGGCGAAGCCCCAAATCCTTGCCTCCAAGGAGCATCCGGTTTAACCCTCTGCAGGATATGGTGAGTAAATCATCTCAGCAGCAGAACTGTATGAAGAGGAAGATGGCATTGGAGGAAAAGACATCAACATCCTGCTACATGCAGATGACACAACATTTACCAACAGAATGTGAAGAGGACTTGAAGAACATACTGATGAACACTGAATATGTAAATATAGATATAAATACTGAATATCTAGCTATCAACATGGATTATGCTTCAACACAAAGAAGATCTTCACAAATGGACCAATAGACAACATCATGATAAACAGAGAAAAAACTGAGGTTGCCAGAGATTTCCTTTTACTTGAATTCACAAACATCCACATAACCAGAAATGTTGAAGGACTCAAAGGACATACTGCATTGGCAAATCATGCAGAGGATGGCTTTATCTTTTTTTAAATTTTATTATTTTTGTGTGCGTGTACCGTCAAATCAGATCTGACTGGTACAAGAGGAGATTGTCCCTCCTTCCCCGGCAGAGCATCTGGTGGATTCGAACCGTTTGCCTCTGGGATTGTAGTTGCAGCTCCTTGCCACTAGGCCACCAGAGTTTCCCAGAGGATGGCTTTAAAGTGTTAGAGGGAAAAGGTATTCTTTTGAGGACCATATAGTGTATCTAACCCAAGTTACGATGCTTTCGAACACCTCACTAGTGGGTAAGGAGTTGCTATACCAAATCGAAGGCAGGCAGTTCAGATCCACCAGCTGCTCGATGGGCAAAGGATAGGCAGTCTCCTCCCATGTGATTTACAGCCTCTAAAAACCCCCCGGACGGAGGTCAGTCCCGTCGGTTCCAACTCATCCTCAACCTGAGTTGAAGGTGAGTCTTCACTTGCTTGGGGAAAATGGACAATGAATCAGAACAGAGGAGTTGATGCCTCCATCACAGACAGCCAGAAGAACAAATCTGTCCTGGAAGGACAGCCAGAATATTCCTTAAAAATAAGGAAGGTGAGACTTCATTTCACATATTCCGGACATGTTATCAGGCAGACTCACTCCCTGGAGAATGACATCGTGCTTGATAAAACAGGAGAGACTGGAAAGGAGGCTGAGCCTCAGCGAGATGGACTGACTGACTAGCAGCTGTGACTATGGATCCAAACAGAACAATGGCCAGGACGGCACAGGATCAGGCATTTCATTCTGCTGTCCATCAGCTCGCTGTAAGCCAGGAACTGACAACATCCCCACTGGCTCAATGAACAAAAAGGGCTCCGTTTTGAGACTGACACAATTTCTTAGACAGGAATATTCCCTTAAAATATTGAGGAATTTTAAAATATCATGGATCTAAAAGAGTTTTTGATATATATATTTCTCCTAGATATACATTCATTAGCTTTTCTTCCAACATGGTTTCCTTGTTTGTTTGTTAGGTGATAAAACTGGGTTCCTATTTTCTGTGTCTTTAATTTATACACCACTAATTTGATTTTTTTAAAAAAGGAACTGAATTAACAATGGTACTCAGTGCTATGCTTTAATATAATATCTAAATAGATTCCTATCTACTGGAAGAGAGGTGATAGCTGAATGTGTGAAGTTGCAAATACGGACTCAAATAGATCAGCTCTGCAGCCCATATAATTAGGCATGCATCTGAGTAGTCACATACTTTTTGGTGGCAATGTAATAGAACTATTAATTTTGTATCTCCTTTCTCGACAGAGTGTGAAGAAAATGCAAATGAATATGCCTATCAATAATCGGATCAAAAACAATCCTGGTGGCATTAATAAGAAAGAAATAAGCCCATTTTTTGAGTTGATTTTAGATAAATTATATCTCAGGAAATATAGTGAGTTTTATTGCTTGGAAAATATACTTTTAAAGTTTTGGTTTTAGTACTGCAATTTGAAGTAATGACCAACTACTCCGTAGTTCATCCGCCGAACATTTGTTAAAAAAATGCATCTGTAAGTGTTCTTCTCACTGATGAAAACACAAGCCATGCATATATCCATTTCATGAAACATTTAGGCAACTTATGAAACAAATCTAGTATATATCTGAGATTTCTCCTGCTCTTTACACAAACATTTGCAGAAGCAAAAAACGTCTAAGGAGCCGGGCCAGGGGCTGGGGAGGGGGGAGATATTTCCTCAGACAGATTCAGTTCAGAATGCACCACGGATACTAAGTGGATCTCTTCAAGCTAAATAGTACCTATTATTACATAGTTCAGCAACTTATGATTCTTTGTGCTTTAGTGAAATTATAAGTTATTGACCCTGAAAAATCTGCAAATACTGGGAATTCAGCATGATTCTTCTAAAATAATTTTTACAAATAATGGATCACTTCATTGTGTCCACCATTCAGTACATGGCACTTGCTTGCAAAATGCACAGTGTCCATAACTGTTTGCTGTGCTCGTACACATTCACCCTTGCTAGCAGCCGAAGAAGAGCTCTCTAGTGCTCCCTCTTACCTCCAATGACTGCAGAGTCGCTTCTGATCGCATTAGCTATGGGCTCTCTGTCCTCTATTGTTCCAGAATGATCTGCGATGAAAGAACAGAAAAGGAGAGAGGGCGATAAGGGAAAAGGAGGCACTTCGGAACTTTTTACGTAACAGAAGTCAACATGGGAATCTCTACGCATCTGAGAGTTGGACTGTAAATAAAGATGACAGAGGGAGGATTGATGCCTTTGAGTTGTGGTGCTGGAGAAGAGTGCAGACTTATCCCACGGACTGCAAAGGGAACAGACACATCCATCTGGGCGAGCACAGCGCCAGGTGCTCTTTAGAGGTAAGGACGGTGGAACCTCATCTCACACAATCTGGACATGTTGTTAGGAGGGCCCAGTTCTTGGAAAAGGATGTCTTGCTTGGACGGATGGACGGTCAGCGAAGGAGGGGCAGACCCGCCAGGAGGTAGATTGGCACAGTGACTGTGTCAGTGAGCTTCGGTGTGGCAGGGATGATAAGGATGGCACAGAGCAGGGCAGGGTTCAGACCCGCTGCTCCTGGGGTCACTCTGAATCAGAGTTCACTCCTTGGCACCTAAAAACAACAACATAGTTCTAAACATAAGCAGTGCCCGTCTCAATGGCCATGTGATCAGGAGACTGGGACTCTGGAAAACAAATGGCCAAAGGTTGACCAAACAAAACTCAAGAGCCCATCTAAGGAACTGCAGCAATGGCCGGAATTTGGAGTAGCAGACGGACACACTCTATCTGTTTGCAGGTTCTGAAGGAGCCCAGAGTCACCTGTGAAGGAGTGGGTCCTTTCCCTTGCGGTGACGTCAGTGCCCGTCTGGGCTGCACAGCTGGATTCAGTCACATGACCCTTGACAGTGATGGGTCCTGGGTGGCTGGGGTGCAGCGCAGCTTTCAGGGGGGCCACGTGGCTGAGCTGCACAGCGGAGAGGCAGCCCATGAAGCCCTGTGCACCAGCCAGCGCCGTCTCCTGGTCTACATCACTGTGTTCTGTAAAAGCCAAGGGAACATTGCAATATCAGTAACAGCACAAGGTGCACATGGGCCAGGACACAGAACATGGATATTTTAGACTTCCTGCCATGGCAAGAAAGAGCTGCTAAGATTCTTCTCCTTTTGTCTTTAATATTAAAATAGCCAGATCCATTAAGTCTTCCCACAACTACGGGTGAGATGACCCAGGTTAATGAAGCCAAGGTTTAAAAGCAGGGCTAATTAAAAATGATGGGAGCTAACTCTCTGAAAATGATTAAAGCCTCCATCAAAAAAATGGGTCAGGCTGTGAACTGATGAGGACCCACGATAGTTTACATTGTGAAATACACAATTAAACAGACTTGTAACGGGGTTTCTAACCAATAGGACTGTGAAGTGCTTCTGGGAGGTGGAGAAGAGCCAGCTCAGCTTCTGAGACTCGAGCCATGAAAATAACAAGGAAAAAGGAGGGAAACAGGCGCCGTGGTGGTGCACCAGTTAAAGCACGTCTCTGCTAACTGAAGGGCTGGTATTTCAAACCCACAATCTCTAGCAGAAAGACGAGGTAGTTTGCTCCAGTAAAGACTAGTCTTGACAACTCCACATGGCCACTTCTACTCTATCCTATAGGACTTCTATGAGCCACAGGCAACTCATTGGCAATGGGCTTAATCCTGGTTCGGGGGAGTCTCTAGCATTCCCTTCTCTGTGGCCCAACTTCTTGACTCTTTGGTTCCACTGAAAGCTTTACGATACTTTCTGACCAACGAAGCATGCCAGGAGAATATTATGCCATAGAAACTATGCTGTAAGGTTTCCCTTACTTACGCACATGCATTAATGGGTACTTTCACACCCCAGAGCCCCGTTTTCCCATTCCAAAGATCTCACCTCGCTATGAACCAGAGTTTAGTTCTAAGGGTCCACTGAGACACAGAGATGGATTCTGATGTCAAGGCAATATGAATACATACTTGTGCAGTGAAAAACATATCATGCCAATTGCTTGAAGGCATGAAGTCTAAACAAGAGTGAAATGGTGTTCAAGGTCAATAGTCCATTGTACCATAAAAGGTTAATACATACAAACGTGTCAAAAATTCAGCAGTACATGCAGCGTGGTCATAAGACAGGACATCGCTGTAATCCCTGTAGGTGCACAGGGACAAAACTAGCATTCCGTTTTTAAGATGCACGTTATCTATACTGTGTCAATGATGAGAGCTCACAAGTATCTATTGAGTGTTGTTGATGTGCTGGTCATTGTTTTAAGGCATTTGCTGGGCAGCAGCCACATGGGTATCTCTGTCTGTACACAGGGGACACTTCAGTTCAGGAGTTTAGTGACTTGTTTGAAGCCACACGGTTCTTGCTATCCCATCCCATCAATCTCAGATCTGTTGGACTCCAAACCACAAGAGTCATTTGCTCATCAGCTCCTCTCTGACGGCATGGTTTTCCCCTCATTCTGCTTATAACTTGTATACATAGTTTTTTTGTTTATTTGTTTGTTTGTAAGCTATTCTCCGGATATCTCAGATCTGATTGAGTCTGTCCTGCTAATAGTTATGTTTCCCTTTGTTATTCCATTTTCAGTCACATTATATTCCTAACAATAAAACTGTGCATTAAAAGCTTAGTATCACAAGTATCAATCTCTTTATAAAGAGAGGAAGAAAAATAAGAACAGTCACGTGACTCTCCCACTGCCAGCAGGTGGCAGAAGGGGAGCCGGTCGTTAGACGCCGCTGTTCCAACATAAGAGGCCATGTCCTCCCCCTGAGGTGAGCCCACCTTTCCACCCACAGGTGATTCCAACGACAGTGACCCTACAGGAAAGAGCAGAACAGGCCGCCAGTGACCCTGGGGCTGTGGAGGCTGCAGAGGGTAAGTGCTTGACGGCTAACTGAAAGGTGGCAGTTCAAACTACCAAGAGGTCTGCAAGACAAAGACTGGGAATCTGTCTCCATAAAGAGTTACAACATCGGGGCCGCAGCCGCGTGGTTGTAGCCAGGGCTGCAGAGTGGGAAGCCGGCGAGTTCGGGAACAGGAAGTCCTTCAAGCTTCTAGAAATTTTAGATGTCCAGAACATTCCCTGTGCACGTGACTCAGTGCTGTATGGTTCGTTAGGATCTGTTGTGGCTGGCCTTGGACATTTTTTATTAACGAGCAAAATTAGAAGATCATGTGATGTTGGAGTAGGAGGATTTATTTTGGTGACTTTAGGATACTGGTTCCATTGTAGGTATAACTGTAAAACTAAGCATCCAGGAAAGAATTACCAGAGAAGGTATTAAAAATAAGATTTTATATGAAAGCACCCAGCTTGATCCTGAAAGGAAAACCAAGAACAGCACAACAGCTGAGCAGACACAAGCAGAGACCATCAATACAGCTCTCAGACCAGCGGACAGAGCCGAGATCAAGTGCACAAATCACCCAATTATGCACAAAGGAAATGAAGCCATCTTCACTTCTGTCACTACCTGTCAGTTATTCTGGTGGCCCTGTACGTGTCACGTGCCTCACTTTCTGAGAAAGTAAGTTTAATTTACTGGCAATGTGCGCTAAGAATAAAACTGTAAAATCTAAAAAAAAAAAAAAAGAGTTACAACAGTCGGAACTCTAGGGGACAGTTCTACTCTGTCCCTTGGGGTCATTACGTTTCATAGTCAACTCAGTAGTAATGGGTTAATCTTGACAGAAGCCATGAAGAAGCTGGTGGATTGGCTTCAAAGTGCTTTAATGATGTAACCACCAGAGCTCCCACCAGGGTTTTGGGGAATAACACTGTGGCTGATACTATAAGCTCCCTGAAGGAGTGGTTGGTTCCCAGCACCCAGCATTATCAATGGGTGGGAGTCAATGAACCTAGTTCCATCAACACAGCAATCACTTGTCTGTGGTTGCACATGCAGGCATATGCATTTGCAGACAGTTGTGCTGGAGTTGCAATATTCTAATAAATCAAAAAGGAAGTTTATTTTGGATGAAATGGTCTTCACCTTTCTTCTGCAAGACTGAAATGTTGACTGACATATTCTAGGCCTATAAGGGAGCTCTGGGGCTTTATGGTAAGGAGTTGCACTTCCAAGTCCAGAGCACACAGCCTGAATCCCCCAGCTGTTCCGAGGTACGAAGATGGGCAGTCTCCTCCTCTGTGACTGACTATCTCTAAAACTCCACTGGAGGGTTGACCAAGAGCCTCTTCCAACTCACTGAGACCTAACAGCAACCAGACCGGTAAGAAATCTTAGCTGTTGAACAATAACAACAAAATATAGACAGTTGACAGGATTCGCTTCTCTGATAAGGTCTGATACGAAGTGTCTTTTGGAAATATCACATTTACACACTAAAAACATTTCACCTATTTGCAGAATCTTATATGAAAAACTGTTACTTTAACTCTTTCAAGTTGGAATTCTTTTCTATCTTGAGTTTTTTGCTGAAATAGTGTCATTTTTTTTTTTAAAGGGGACTCTGGTGGCCTAGTGTTAAGAAGCTGTGCTGCAAACCCAAAGGTTATGTGGTTTGAATCCAACAGCTGTTTTTGCAGAACTATGGGCATTCTCCCCACACAATTTATTGCCTCTGAAAACCCACCAGAGGGTCAGCTATGGGTCAGTTATAACTTGATGGTACTCAATAAAAATAGTATCTTTTGAATGAAATTGAAAAAGTGTGTTTGACATAATGGGGATTTTGAGAAAATTAGTGGGACACATATGTCCCAAGAAGTCTCTGGCAATTAGTGGGCTGAGGTCTGTTTCTTCAGGTCCACAAAGTCATACAAGCCCCCGACAGATGCCAGGCAACAGGTACTAAATACGGGATAGCAACTTGCCAGTAAATGCCAGAGGGAGATAAGGTAGGTGGACAGTATGCATCGATTAATTATGAAAGGATTAAACTCTAAAACTTAAAATGAGCAGTTAGTCAACTAATATTCCTTTGTAGTGCTTTAAGCAGTAAGGACAACAATTCCCTAATTCAAGAATGCCATGTTCTACTAGGAAGAGGCAAACAGCAAGCAAAGAAACAGAAGTAATAGTAACAAAATAACAATGTTGAAGAATTGTAATGTTGCTGTTGTTGTTGTGTGCCATTGAGTTGGAACCAATCCACAGCAGACGTTCCAGCAGGTTCTCAGAGGCAGATAATCACACAGGAGGAAGCTGTCCAACCTCCTGCAGGACTGCTGGTAGATTTGAACCATGTGCCTTTGGGATTGCAGAGCAGCCTCGTCCCACGAGGCCACAAGAGCTCCCTAAATAAGGATAATTTACATTTACTAGAAATTAAAATTATATGTAACAATTCTAATAATAATATTGTTAGAAAAGGAATTGGCCAAAGTAATGAACTGTATCTGGAACAGAAAGTGATCTGGATGAGTTAGGTTACTTTTCAGGTTTACTTTAAAGAGGAATCTCTCTCTCTCTCTCTCTCTCTCTCTCTCTCACACACACACACACACACACACACACACACACACACCCCCTTCTCTCACAAGGAGCCCCTCTCTAATTTTCCTAGCAGATTCTTTCAAATTGTTGCTGTCCATTCAATCTCAGATAGTTCTTGAAAGTTGGTGGGTCCTTTTAATGTGAAGGTAAATCTATGGGAATGTTGTCAGAATAGACCAGTCATTGGACAAAGACATCATGCTAGGAAAGGTCAGCAAAACAGAAGAGGACCTCCAACTAGATGGAGTAATATAATGACTGGATTGGTGGGCTTGCGCGCAGCAGAGATGGTAAAGATGGTTCTGGGCGAGACAAGGTTCTGATCTGTTTGTAAGAAAATGACATATAATGTGTATTATTGTTTCGCCTTTCTCCTTTTTATTATTCGTGGATTTCGATTATCCACATAAAACCTCCTCTATCCAATCTCTAAATCTACTTTATGTCCCCTCCTGAGTTCTGTTTCTCAGATGTATTTCTGTGTTGGTCAGCATGCTCTCCAGCCGCTTAATCCTCCCGGTGACAAATCCAATCATTAACCATAAT